GGGGGTGATGGTTTGAGGGAGCACATGTGGACAGAATGGCATGGCAGCAGTTAGTGTGGTGCCACCGGGGCTGCAGCCAAGGAAATTGAGGGTGAAGGTCTGTCTGGAGGCCCTAGGCTTGTTCTGAGTTGTGATAAAGTCCCCTCAGACCACTATGCCTTGGAGGCAGCCTTGTGCCTTCCTGTTGTCGTCCTGCCTTGAATACATTCCAGTGTTGTCCGGCCAAAATGTTACCATGCGTCCATTCTTTAATTCTCCTTTTCATGGTTTATAGTCATTAAGTTAAGCCGATACAGTACATTAAAATGATTACTAATTAATTTAAACATCATAATTTTATGAAGTGAATAACAATGCCATTTATTTCTAAAAAGCATATTAATAAGAGTGTGTGTATTCTCACTTAAAACACACATTTTATATTTTGAATATCACATTGTAACTCTTCTTCTTTCTTTCAAACTTCAGTGTTTTGTTTTTTTTTTAACCTGGAAGGACTAGAGATACAAGTGGGCAAACCTAACACATATCTATAGAATACACCGAACACCCCACACCACAGATGATAACTATGGTTATTCACAAAAGGGTGAAGAGTTTGGAGAAGGCCGGAGAAGTGAACAATCTAGGACAACATCGCTGAACTGGAAAGTGAGCTGAATTGGAGGATTATTTTTCCTAAATCAGCTATGTTGCTAAACCTAACACATATCTATAGAATACACCGAACACCCCACACCACAGATGATAACTATGGTTATTCACAAAAGGGTGAAGAGTTTGGAGAAGGCCGGAGAAGTGAACAATCTAGGACAACATCGCTGAACTGGAAAGTGAGCTGAATTGGAGGATTATTTTTCCTAAATCAGCTATGTTGTCCTAGATTGTTCCCTTCTCCGGCCCTCTCCAAACTCCTCACCCTTTTGTGAATAACCCTGAATTGCATGTCTATCAGCTCTATGATTCACTCTTTTAATAGATTCAGATTTTCAGGAGAAGCTGTGTCCCTTAATATGGAATGATTTTAGCATTAAGCTCCTATTACCCTATCTATCCGTCCCCCAGAGCTCTTTTGGAGCTGTCTCCTATCATGACAAATTATCATAATTACCCCCCAATAAGTGGTTGGGATGTTCTGAGTGTGTGGAGCCGCTTTCCGTTCACTTCATATAATGAAAAACTTCCCTTTGTCAGTATTCTTTGCTGAAATGTCTATTTCTTTATTTTCTGCTGCACATCTGCAACAGGGAAGAATCATGTGACATGAACACACAGAAGAGGGAATATTCCCCTCAATTATCCAATCTTGTGCGGATGAAATAAGAAAGAAGGAATTTGGCGTTTACATCATTGGATAACTGAAGTGAATATTGAAACCATTTATTGTGTGAAGATTCTCCAATCTTTTAGTAAATCCGCGTCCACACTCCGAAGCACCACTCCTCTATAATATTATACTTGTAATGAGAGCATTTTTGGGTGCAGTTAAAGTGTTATGTAATATCTCCTTGTTATTGTAGCTCTGCTAATCACAGGTTATCATATCATTGTTTGGTCATTATCACCTAAAGTCAACCAGTTCAAACAGCAACATTGACAATAATAAGGATGACACCGATACATAAATGCAGAAAAATACATTCAAAATGTTATAATAACATATATATTTTTAAATAATAGACACATACATAGTTACATAGTCGGTGACGTTGAATAAAGACACAGCTCCATCAGGTTCAAACCATATGCAAATATACAGAAAACACAGAAAATATTTTTGCGTTCAGAAATTACTTAGCTATAAACCTACATAATAATAATAATAATAATAATAATATACTGTAGGGTGATTACCTACATGCATTGTAGCATAAAACTATCATAATGGGTGATAATATTAAATGCAAATAGAAATCAATAAAAAAACATACTAAAAATAATGTTGTGATATTAATAACAATAATATTAATATGAAAATAATAATTCAGATAT